CCGGAAATTCACAGCCTTCACATCACAGGTCGGGAGCTGTGTGACCTTTCAGCATCTCCTAAGCGCTTGGCCCCACATCCAGAGCTATGGCCCCATGCAGAGGGGACACCACCATCCATCAGGACTCACCATCGCCCTGGTCTCCCCATGCCAAGCCCAGCACGGACTCCCCTGAGCCCTCCTCAGTGGCTGCTCTGGGTGTAACTGCCACCACCCCAGGTGACAACATGTATCCCCTGCTCCGTACTGAGAGAGCGAGGAAGAGCCGAATTTAATTTACTCCCTGCTTCATTTCCAAGCCAAATGAGTCAGAGCCACAGCCGCACTCGCTGCTTTGTTTTTCTTGGCTGATAGCACTCACTTTTGATCCATGTTTGTTCAATATTTAACTCTCATAGTGACACTTTGACTCAAACCAGGCAGCAGGAAGGCCACTCCCCACCCCCCCCCACACCCCACGCTGCTGGGACAGGAGCGTGGCTTGGCTCCAGAGCAGCTCACTTGCTGTGTTTCCTTTGCTTCCTGCAGGTGGACAAATCCCTGCACTCAGTTCTCCAGCACCGCAGCCTTGAGCCCCACGGAGGATGGAGCAGATGGGTCATGGGGTGATTCCAGAGCAAAAACCACCTCCAATGGGGCTGAGGTTTCGGGGCCAGCTGGGAACGGGCTGGGCTGCATTCCTGCCCGGGTGGGGGCTGCAGGAGGAAGCAGCAGTGCCGAGATGTCCCCGTGCCCTGCAACCCTGCACAGAAACTCCCTGCAGCCCCAAACCCACATGAGTGGCTTCGAGCACAGCTGTCAACGTTTCCACCCTGAAAATCAGCAAGCTTTGGGCTGGACAGATTTGTTTGTTTTGTTCCACTGCGTGTCTCAGCTTTTGGAAGATACTTCCAAATTTTTTGGCCCACACCTTCCCAGTCAGAGAGAAACCCTTCAGCCTCAGAGAAAACTCTGTGTGGGGAAACATCGCTGGGGCTGAGCATCCCCATGGGGAGAGTGGGTCCCAGAAATGCCCAGATGCTGTGGGATGTGCTGGGGCCATGCTGATCCAAAAGGAGCATGGGGAAAAGCATTGCCACAATGTTTCCCTACTGACCTGAACCACTGAGACCCAAAACCTTCCTGAATTACCCCAGGATGTGGTTGCATGGGAAAGTGGGGTGGGGTTAAGATGTGTTGAAATTAAGTGGGATGGGGTGGGGTAGGATGAGGTGGGATAGATGGGATGGGATGGAGTGGGATGGGATGGGATGGGATGGGATGGGATGGGATGGGATGGGATGGGGTGTGGTGGGGTGGGATGCAGTGGGATACTTCGGCACATAATGGGATGCAGTGGGACTGTGGCACTAAGGTGCCAGCAGGGGACCAGACAACAGCACCCAGGAGCCCCCTGTCCCCATGTCATCACCAAACCCTATTCTGGGGGGCCAGTGCTGGGCTGCCTGTGCTGGGCACGGTGCAGGGTGGAGCAGTGAGGGCTCGGCTGGGTGTGGGAGCAGCTCCAGAGAAGGGCTTGCCAAGAAAATGCAATCGCGTTGCATAAAACGTGCTCTGCTCCCCTCCCGCAGCGGTGGCTCAAGAGCTGCTCACCCTGGTTAAGTCAATATTGCCACATCGCTGCCTCCACTGGAGTGCTGACTCCATGGAGGGGCTCCAGGGGTGCTCCATCACCACAGGGACGGAGCCCCAACCCCAGCATGAGCTTCACAGTGCTGGGATTTCGGTGGGTTTTCCTCTTTCTGCTTTATGACCCACAGGAGCAGATCAGCACCTGAGCATTGGCGCAGATCCCCAGATTTGACATCAGCTCCAATTTTGTCCCTCCTGTTGCTGAGCTGGGCAGGCAATGGGAGCTGCTGCATGGGCAAAGCTGCAGAAGGGATCATTTGGAAAATAAAAGCCCCATTGTGATGGGAGAGCACAGCTTGCAGGGAGGAAACCACAATGTGGGATGTGCTGTGCTGTGGGCATCCCTTGCTGCTTCAAGCACAGCTTGGAGGCAACCTGGACCCGGCAATCAGTGGGCACAGGGGCATTCCAGGCCTGAGGGATTATGCTCTGTGCATCCCCATGGGCAGAACTTGGTCAAAGGGACCAAAAACTAAGGCTGCTAAGACTGCTGGCACCCGCAGACCACAGCTCTCATGTGCAGCTCAGCAGTGCGGGCATGGAGTGGGGCTGGGAGCCTGTCCCCATGGCACAGCATAACCCAAAGCTGTGCTCTGATCCTAAGCCAACAAACAGGCAGAACACCCGGGCAGTCGGCACAAACCGCAGCTTCCCACTCCAGCGGGGCGTCTCACCGCTCCACGTTTCAGGGAGCAGCTGCAGTTTTTGTGGCTTTCAAAGGCATCCGTGCACCAAAATGAGCCACGGGAGAGATGCGGGGAGATTAGGGGGATTAAGGTCTGCGGAGCTGCAAGGATCTGCCTTGTGAAAACCCTTCCGTGGGCAAAGGCAGCAGCTCGGAAGCCCCTCACTGTGCTGAGCTTAGAGGGGTTTGTGGCTGGCAGAGCTGGGAGAGACCACTCCCTGCGTGCCCAGGAATGTGCTGCTGCAAGATAGCAGGAGTATGAAAGCACAAGAGCTCCTAGAGCAAACAGAAGCATGCGGAGCTTCAAGTGGTTACACACAAGGATCTCAACTAGGTCTTGCCCTCCTCTTCCCCCCCCCCTCCCCCATCCCCTGCTTGGAATGGAGCAGGGCAGGGGATGGGAGATGGCATGCATAGAGATGGACCAAGCCTTCGGATGAGCTGTGGGGCACTGGGCAGTACCGGGTGAATACTGAGGAGGAGGAAGGACACAAAAGCCGTGAAGCCAGCAGTGTCCCCACTGTGGCTGCCCGTAGGGATCCCACACACTGATCACAAAGCCCTGCAGCCCAGCAAAGCCACGTCCCACGGTTTTGGGGAGCACCTGCCTGTCCCCAAATTGCACCCCATCCCCTCACACGTACACTTACCTTGTGCTGCCTCTGCTGGCACCTGCTGCCCAGCTGGGTGATGCTGGCCTCACCTGGGTCCCGTTGTGCTCCAGAGGACGGATGGAGGCTCTGAGCCGTCCCCACTGTAGAGACTGAGTGGCCCCACAGAGCGGTGCTACGCAAGCGGGGGATCAGGATCAATAGGTCACAGCGTGCACTGACGTGCCCCCAGAAAGAAAATCAGCAGAGGATTTGGGGCTGGTGGGGAGGCTACAATCACGTATTCAGGCCTTTAATCTCATATGGGCACAAAATCCTGGGATAAAAATGCCAGAGCCTCTCCTAATTGCTGACTGCTGTGCGCTGGCGAGTGGGTGAGCAAAACCTCTTAGGTGACGGTGGGCCGAGGACAGACACCCTGCTGCCTTCCTGCCTGCTGTGTGGGCACAGCCTGGTGTCAATATGGGAAGGATACACCCAGGCCAGTGGGCACCCTGGGGTCAGCATCCCTAAAAAAAGCAGCACGTGGGTGGTGCTGTGCCCTGGGGAGGGAAGCGGAGGCACTTTGGCTGCTCCCTACTTTGCCTGGGTTGCAGCTCTGGGGGACTTCCCAATCAGTGGGTTTGTAGCAGGCTGCACGGTACAGTAACACACAGGAGGGAAGGGATGTTTCCAAAGGGACCTGGATGGGGTGGAGTGTTGAGCATGTAGGAACTTTATAGGATTCAACATGGCCAAGTGCAAGGGAACACATGGGATGAACAACCCAAAGCACAGATACAAACTGGGTGACGAGCAGCCCTGTAGTAGACGGACTTGGTTGGAGGTATAAGCAGGCAGTGTGGAGACCTGGCTCACCCAAAGCAGCATGGCCAGCAAGGCAGGAAGGGGATGGTCCCCTCTGCTCCGCTCCCCAGGCCCCCATCTGTGCATGCAGAACAGGGACATGGGGCTGTTGGAGGAGGGTTGGAGGAGGCCACAAGGATCAAAGAATTGTTCAGTGGCACTGGTAGGAAGGAACCTGAGATCACCCAGTTCCAATCCCCTGCAGTCAGCAGGGTTACTGACTGATAGATCAGGCTGAGGTAGCTGAGGCTACCCGGGGCTCCATCCGTAGCCATTGGCACCTCCAGGGATGGGCACCCCCAGCTCTGAACAGCAGTGCCAGAGCCTCATTGCCCTCCAGGTGAAGAATTTCCCCCTAACATCTGATCTTAATTTTTCCCTCTTTTAGTTTAAAGCCATTCCTCCTTGTCCTATCAGTATGAGACCGTGTAAAAAGTTGTGCCCTTCCTGTTCATAATCTCCTTTTAGTACTGAATGGCCACAGTGAGGTCTGCACGGAGCTCTCTCCATGCTGCACACCCTTGGCTCCTCAGCCTGTCTCCATAGCAGAAGTGCTCCAACCTCCGAGCATCCCTGTGTCCTCCTCTGGCCCCTGGTTCCAACCTTGCTGTGCTGGGCCACAGGCATGGATGCAGCACTGCAGGTGGGGGCTCCTGAGGGCAGAACAGAGAGGGACAATCGCTGCTATAGGAATAACTGAGGGCTGCAGGCATTGAGCCTGGGGGAGGCAAGGCTCCGGGGTGGGGGGGGCTGCAGCAATGCCCAGTGCTTACAGATACAGTAAAATGGGAAGGGACTCCGTGTCAGGGGGGTGCAGCAATAGGACAAGGGGGAACGGTTTTAAACTAAGAGAAGGGAACTTTAGGTTGGGCGTGAGGGGGAAATTCTTCACCCACAGGGCTGCGAGGCGCTGGCACTGCTGGGCAGAGCTGGGGGTTCCCACCCCTGCAGGTGTCCACGGCCACGGACGGGGCTTTGTGCCCCAGGTACCCGTGCCTACTGCACAAGGTGGGCTGCGATTCCCCTCCCTTCACTGCCCTCCTCCCCCCCCTCCCCCCGCCCGAGGAGCACAGGAGCACAGAGGAACCCCCTCCGGGCTCCTCCCTTCCACTCCCAGTCCCGGCTCCGCTCCCCGGGAGGGCAGAGGCAGCCGCAGCCCCGTCCCCGCCTCCCTCCCTGGGCCCGGCCCCGCCGCCGCCGTTCCCGGCTCTCAGAGGGCTCCCGTCGGCAGCGGGGGAAGAGCAGGCGGAGAGCGGGCGGCGGCCGGGGACGCGATGCACTCGCTGTTCAGGAAGCGCAACAAAGGGAAGTACAGCCCCTCGGTGCAGAAGAAGAGGTGAGAGTCCCCGCAGCGGTACCGAGAGCCCCCAGCCCCAGGTTGGCTTCTGCCGGGTGCTCCCATCCCACCCGGTGCTGCGGTTTGTGGGGCAGCCCGGAGCACCCCCAGCTGCGAGCACCCCAGGATGTGGGCACCCCGCGGCACAAGCACCCCCAGGTTGGGGTGTCCCCGTCTGCAGAGCCCCTCAGCGCAAGGTTTGGGCGTCCCAAAGTGCAGGTTACCCCCGGGGGGGGGCAGCCCGCGGTTTGGACCCCCCAGGTGTGAGCACTCCCCGGTGCCATCCCCAGGGTATGGGATGGCATTCCTTGGCTGGATGTGACCGTCCCCTCCGCAGCACTGTGGGCAGGTGCCTTCACGTCCTGGTGTGTGCCAGGTGAGATCCCAGAGCGGGACGTGGGGTAAAAAGTCTTCAGCCTTCATTAGCGTTTTCTAAGGATCGATTATTCCCTCTATTCTCTCTGGGTTTTTTTTCTTTTTGGTTTTTTTTTGTTTTCCTTCTCAACTGTATTGGCATGCTTCAGTTGTCTTGGTTATAAAACCAACCATCAGACAGATGCAGTTAAAATGGAAATCAATGGGGAATTCCCCTCCGAGGAGGCACGGCTGTGCTCTGGGCTGCAGCATTCACTGCATGCCATGGGCAGACGGGATGTATCCCCAACGTGCTGAGTGCTGGGATCGGTTTATCAGGGCTCATCCTTGTCGGTCTCTGTGTTTAGGAGGAGCCCCCAAGGGGAGGATGCTGCTGCCTCAGTCTGGGAGTGTGGTGAGCACTCAGGTGCTGCTGGGCTCCCCCTGTTTGGGGCCAGGCACCTCTCACCCCGGGGAGGGCTGGCAGGAGGAGATGGGGTGGCCCTGAGCCCCCCCACAGCCCCATTCAAGCGGTCCCATTGCCAAAGAAAGGTGCCAACACCCTGCTGTGGGGCTGCAGCACTCTGGAGGCTGCAAGCCGGGCTGGTCCCTTATTTTTAGGCTGGATTGTGCTGGGGCCACAGTGCTGCTCCCCCCCTCCCCCATCTCACCTCCCCCCTGCACCCCTTCCTGCTTTGGACGCAGCCAAGAGGGGGCTGTGCCCATTAGCCCCAATTTGTTCAATCCTGCGTTGGAGTTTACAAACAGCTGCGCAGGCAGGGAACACTCCCACTGTGGGGAAACTTCCTCGCCATCGGGATGGGGACGCCGGCGCCCGACCGGTTGAACCACTCATGGGAGAAGGCAGTGGAAGACAGCAGGCAGCCGCCCCGTCCTGCGCTCCGGGCAGTGCCAGGCTCCCAGCCAGGACGGGAGGTACTGAGCAGCACTGCTAACATCAGCCCAGCAGCGGGCTGTAAGCAGGAACGGGGGTCTCAACACGGTGGGAGTTCCTCCAACCTTTGTGCTGAGCTTTGGAGAGGCGGCGATGCCGTGCTGAGGGTGCTCGGTGCCAGGGTGCCGCGGTGACCGAGGCTTGGCAGCAGCACGGTGGCATGGCACCAAGCCGGTAATGGTTTGGCGAGTGCAAGGTTGTGCTGGAGCTGTGCCCAGCAGTGTTGTGGAAGGAGGAGATTGCTGCCCAGGCCGCCTGTGGAGCAGCAGGTCACATCCTGCGGTGGGTCACAGCCCCGCCAGGAGCCTCTCCCCCTGTCCCTGTGTTTAATCCTGGAGAGGATTTGGGGTGCACGTGGCATGGCAGGACCTTGATGTGCCAGCCTCAGCAGCGCCCGGTTGCTCCTGCAGAACATCCCTGCCACCCAGCTCTGGGCGCCCATCCTCCGGCACTTCCATTTGCAGGCAGTGCTCCGTGGTTTTGTCTTTCTGCTGCGCAAATGTATGGGGCCTGTTTTGTAGGAATGTCCTCATCCCCTCTCTATCCCTCCAAAAAGAGTGCAGGAAGAAGGGCACAGCTGCGGGAGCCTTGAGAAAGCTCCAGCCCGGCTGCCAGGGCTGGGTGTGCCAGGAGAGGCACTGCTGGGGGTGCGGCATGTGTATGTTTATCTTATTAGATTTATTTTTAAGAAGAGCCCAGCGCCAACCACGCACAGGTGCCAGAGGTCCCACATCCCGAGAAGGCAGAGTAGCCATGTCATATGGGAGAACATCCCAGATCCTCCCCTGCTCCCTTTCCCACACCCCAAAACCAGGAGGTGCTTTACGAAAGGAGCTCAGGAGGCGAACAACGCAGATCAGTCTGATCCTGGAGGAGCGACTGTGGGAGATCACCTGTGGGGAGGGTGGCTCTGGAGGCTCAGGCATGTCCCCAAAGGGGGTCCCCACTCCGGAGACCCCACACCCCCTGCCTGGCCCAGCCTCTGGGATTGGAACTGGAGGCTCGGGGGTGGGGGGGACCTGGCTGTGGGGCTGGCACCCATTTCCAGAGGCTGTTTTGCAGGGCTGGAGTCAGCAGGACTGAATAGACAACCGGTGAGTCAGGGCGCTGCTCTGTATTTATAGCACAGCGAGCCTCGCCATCGCCTGCCCTATTTTTGCTTTAATTTCCATGCACATTACAATAACATATCACCATTAATACAGGGGAAGATAAACACAACTGAAACAAGGCGGGCTGAGCCTGGCTGCCTGCTGGCCCTAATGTGTGCTGTGACTTTGGAGCCAGATTTTGGCCTCCCCCAAATGGAAGGTATGCTGACTGTAGCCCGGCCCTCTGCTCTGCCCCCATCCCACACCAGCAGCGCCGTTATATGGCACAGAGGCACTGTGGAGGGAGTGCTGTGCATAGGGTGGTTGCAGCTTCCCATGAGAGCAGGGATGCAGGGTGGCACCTGGCTGTGGGTCCCATTCTCATGGATTGTGTGCTCTGCTCTGTGTGAGCACTCCCTCGTTTTAGGAGTGTGGGTGAAATCTCCTCCTTGTTTGAAAAAGAGAACATTTGGAGAAATCCCAGTGCACCACTGCAGTCCTGCCCTCATCCCACACACCCACACCTGTGGGGCGTTTGCTGCAAGGAGTGTTATCAGCAAAGGCATGGGCTGATAGGAGGAGAGAAGGAAACAGAGGGGCCACATCACTGCAAGGTGCAAATTATGGCACAAGGCAGAGAGCTGAGCGGGCACACAATCTTTGCTCAGGGCAAAGCAAGGGGAGTGGGGGGGTTTGCTGGGCTGGAGGTGCTGGCCTGGCAGGGGAGATCCAGGTTGGTTTGGAGCTCAGTTCTGTTTGGCACCATCTCTTCAGCATCACCACGTCGGCCCGAAAAGCTGGGAAGAGGGGGTTCCCTCCTGCTGTGGATGCTCGCATACCCTGCAGCATCTTGGGGCTCTTTTGGGGAACGCCCGAGTGGCTGCTGCCAGCTCTCGGCAAAGCTGGAGCTCTCCCAAGCACGGTGAGCCAGGGCAAAAGCATCTCCTCTCCCTGAAGAGCAGAGAGTGGCTCCAAAGCTTTGAGCAACAGCCGGTCAGGCACGGAGCAGCTGCCTCCTCCCTGCTCCCCAGCTGGGAAAACCCAGAGCAAACCCTCCCCATGTGCTGGAATCGGCCTGGCCCTCCACTCCAGAACAGAAACAGAGCCATTGTCAAACACAGCCTGTCACGAACTTTATCATTTTTTCCTTCACTATCAGAAAGCTCTTTGGAAATGTTTGAGTTCTTCAGCAATGGCAAAGCCTGTTTTTCCAGGGATTTTTTTTTTCCTTTTTCTTTTTTCTCCCGTTTTCAAACAAAGCCCTCTCTATCTGGGCTTTGCCTCTCCCTTCCCTCTGCAGGCTCCTTGCTGTGGCCGTGCCCCGAGCACTTGGGTCCTCCTGCAGCAGTTGGCTCTGTGTCCCATCCCAGTGGAGCACTCTGGAGCCCCTCTGCCTTTCCTCCTCCCTCCCAGTCTGGTTCAAATGCTGCCCCTGTGTGTTCGAGTGGCAATTTCTGGAGGATTGGGCAAACCTCTGGCACAGGAGAACAGGCAGTGCCAGTGCCCCTGTTGCATTCTGCATGCAGGGATGCTCCTGGCAGGGGCTGGTAGCACCTCCTTCTCTCTGGGTCCTGATGCCACAGAGAGATGGGCTTTGCTGGTGCAGGTTCCCTCAAGCAAGCAAAGAGACCAGCTTGGAAAACTCCAATTGCTGTGGATCCCAAGCTGAATTTTATTTCCCTTGTGCAATCTGGAAATTTCTACATCACAATCGAAACTGGAACTCAGAAAACTCCATAATTCTGTCTTTCGGGCTGGCTTTTCCATCCGTGCTACAGATCCCTAAAGATTCATCCCTGGGATCCCACTGCCAGCACGGGGCAGGCATGCAGGGCAGCAAGATGCTCAGCCCTGCAGAGCACTGATGGGTGCAGCCACCACCCTGCTCTGCGCCCTGCTGATAACACAGCATCTGTATAAAGAAAAGCCAGTGCAAAGCATGCCCTGCTGTGCTGGAATCTCTCAGGGGAAGTGGGATCTGCTGTCAGTATGTGGGGCAGGGCTTGAGGTGAGGAGCAATGAGCCCAGAGCTTTTTGTCCTATTGAAAGAGATGACACGTGTGGCAGATGGGGACCTGTCCCAAAACTCAGCATCAATGCCAGGAGTTCGGCCAGACCCAGCAGGCTGAGCTCCTCTTCCCCAGCACTGCATTGGGAAGGCAGCAAGCCACAAGCAGCCTCACCCCGAGGACCCTGGAGGTGTTGAAGGCCGGGTTGGATGGGGCCTTGGGCAGCCTGGTCTGGTATGAAATGTGGAGGTTGGTGGCCCTGTGGCAGGAGGGTTAGAGCTTCATGATCCTTGAGGCCCCTTCCAACCTGGGCCATTCTGTGATTCTGTGACCCTGCATTGCTCCTGGTGGGACCAGCTGCTATTCCCACTCTCTGCATCCCGTCACCAGGATGCCCACATCCCCAGAAGGGGACTGCTGTCATTTTCCCATTGCAGCCAGGAAGCTGCAACTCACCTTATAGTGCTGCTCCCACCTGGGCTGTGGTCCACAGCTTGTGCAGGAGACACAGGGCACATCGAGCAGCAGCTCTAACGGAGATCAGCCTTTCCACACGCCGTATAACAATTAATTCTGCTTCCACGTGATGAGATCATTAAGGCTCGTTATCTCCACTCGGTAAATGATTGGGATTAGAGTGAGCCAAGGTTCAGCCCTTATAGCAGGACCAGCTCTGGGCTCTGCGACTGTTTGGGAGCATGAAGCACTTGGGAGTGTGGTGGTGTTGGTGCCGGGGGGATGCAGCCCTGAGCTCTGCCCACAGGCTGGCCAGAGCCTCACATCCCATCAGCACACTGCAACCAAAGTGATGAAATGTTTAAAGTAAGCATGGCGATGCAGGAGCTGTGGCACAGGGTGTTCTGGACATTAATAGAAGTGTTGGCTCCAGCTCAGCTGTCCCTGCTGGGAACATTTGGCTAACCCCACACAATTCCTTGCTGATGCAAAGCAAAGCAGACGACGGGCCCTGCGCGCAGCCACCAGAGAGGCTTGTATCCTGAGCACGTAGAGAAGGGAAGGAGGAATCCTGCCTGGCAGGAGCCGGAGTGCACAGGCCCAGATGCAGCAGGCGCCGTCCCATTGCCTTTTATTTGCTCTAAACGGTGCACACCTCCCTGCAGAGCTGCTATCTGCAGAGGGAGGCAGGGTGCTCTGTGTCAGGGTGTGAGCAGCACTCCTGCCCTGCGCCCTGGCTTCAGCCATGGCATCGCTCCCATCGAGAAGCCCCGGCCACCACCCCCATGCTGGCAGCACGGCTGCGTGTTTTGGAAAGTGTTAGAAAGGCAGCAGTGAGTCACACACAGCTGCAAGGCCTGGCGAGCTCGGCTGGCCCCCAGCCATGCGGTGGGGCCACGGCGTGCTGAAAGGAGCCCCCTGCGATGTGGCCCCTCTGCACGGGCACCTGCAGCGTGGTGAGCTCCTCTCCCTTTTCTCCTTCCCCAGCATCTCCAGCAAAGAGCTGACCGAGCTCATCGAGCGCCTGCAGAAAAATGCCGACCAAGTGGAGAAGAACATCGTGGAGACTGACTCCCGAATGCAGAATGTGAGTATGAGCTGTGGCCCCGTGCGTGCCAGTGCTCCCCAGAGGTGGGAAGGGGACCACGTTGCCCTCTGGCCAGCCTGCCCATCACTGCTGCATGGGAGCAGTGCAGAGGGAGGACCTCATCTGGCCCCCACCCCAAGGCACGTGAGCATGGATGCTGTTTCTTTGCCCTCTGTGATCATTTCTCCCCGCTCTCTACCCGCCCAGGATTTGCACAAGATCAAGGCATGCCAGCTAGCACAGTACAAGGAGCTGACAGCTCAGAAGCTGACGGAGTCGGACAAGCTGCTCTATGTACTGGATGGGGATGCAGCCATTGCCAGGCACATGAAGCACCCCCAAGGGGACATGATCACTGAGGAGTGAGTACAATGGGAGGGGATGGCCATCTCCATAGGTTCAGCTCATAGCCCCCTGTGCACAACCCGCAGGCGTATATTGAGCATGTCACCCGCCAACAGCCCCATGTAAAGCCCTGCAAAGCACTGTGGGGCAATAGCTGCCCCCCACCCTGAGCTAGAGAATGTGCAGAGCAGCCTTGATGCATGGCAGCCTCTGCCCTCTGCTGCCCAGCTCATTGCTCAGTGCAGCCCCCTGCCCCCGTGGCATGGCTGAGGTTCCTGAGGGCAGTCTGAGCATCACAAGGGGGCTGGGAGGGGACAAGTGCAGCTATTGCTTAATGGCTGGGCTGCTCTGTACCAACATCCTGCATCCCACCTCATCCTTCCCTTCCTGCAGCATCCGGCAGCTGAAGGAACGAGTGGCAAATCTACGTGTGAAACATGACCAGATCTACAACTTCCCCCTGCAGCACATCGAGCCCCAGGTCAACTGGTGCACGGTGATCGAGGAGAAACAGGTACTGAGGGGACAGCAGTGCTGCTGCCTGGGGACTGTGCCCCACTGGGGACACCTGGGCTGAGAGAAGAGAGGCTCCTGGGTGAGCTTGGGCAAACCTCTGCTGCTCTGCATCCAAGGATGGAGACTACGCTCTCTCCACTCTCTATGTGCTGCCCTAATAGTGCAAAAGCTTCCCCTGGCACCCAGCTGCCAGTTCTGCTCCAGTGTGTGCCCCTTGGTTCTCATCCTCCCGCTACCTGCCGCTGGGTTCTTGGTAACAGCCTTGCAGTTATTGGAAGCGCCCAGCCTCACCACCCCCATTCTCTGCATGCGTTGATCCATGATGCATAGGGGATCCCTGCTGCATCAGCTTCACTTCCCAAGTTCCCAAATCCCCTTTATCGTGGTGCTGCACAGTCCGTGAGAGCCTCCATGTCTCCCAGCAATACCCCAGAGCCTGCCCCAGCCCAGCTCCACATCCGGCTCCAGTGGCCAAGAAAAGCCATTCAGGTCCTGGCTGCTGCGTCCCATTCTCCTGCCATTGACCCCATATCTCATGTGCTGTAGGATGCGTTGTGTGGCAAGGGCTTTGGGACTGATCTGCCGCTGGTCAACAGCCAAGTAGAAGAGCACAACATCTTCCACAATGAGGTCATGGCCATCGGCCCACACATCACCAAGGAAGGCAACAAGGTCAGCTCTCCTGCCCCGTATCCTGCTGGAATAGGGACATCGTGCCCTGAGGGAATGCAGGCAGCTCCCAAGCCTGGCCTGAGCTGGGTGGGTGCCCAGAACCCACTGCTAGCCTTGGAGCTGAGCATCCTACATCACCTCCAGCTTCATGAGGAAGCCAACCCCACAAAAGTCCTATTCAGCCCCATTCAAACTTCCCCTCTCTGCAAGCACCCCCCAACTGCCTTTCTTCTCCCATTCCCAGGGATACACGAGTGACCTCCAAGCCAAGTACCAGAAGCTGCTGGTAGGAGACCTGTGGGACGCAGGGCTGGGGTGGGGCAGGGAGAGGAGCTTGGGGCTGAGCTCTCCCTTTCTCCCTGCCAGGCCAGCTCGCAGCAGCGGCAGCAGGACCTGAACTCACTGCAGGACTACATGCAGCGCTGCACCAACAAGCTCTACTGGCTGGATCAGCAGGCAAAGGACCGCACGCACTATGACTGGAGCGACCACAACCTGGACTACCCCAGCCGGCGCCGCCAGTACGAGGTGGGAGCACGCTCACACCTGTCCCTTCTGCCTCAGTTTCCCATCATTAAGCACTTGGAGGTCTACAGGTGATAGGATGGAAACATTAATCTCAGGACCACAGAATGGTTTGAGGTTGGAAGGGAACTTACAGTCCGATGGTTCCGTCCTGCTGTGGGCAGGGACACCTCTCACAGAGCAGGGCACTTCCAGGGATGGGCACCCACGGCTCTCTGGGCAGCACTGCCACCCTATGAGTGAAGAACTTCCTCCTAATTAATTAAATCTCTTTTAGTTTAAAACTGTTCCCCTTTGCTGTTACTACGCTTGCTGATAGAGAGTCCCTCCCCAGCTTTCCTGCAGCTCCCTCAGGCACTAGAAGGCTTCTCTAAGGTCTCCTGGAGCCTTCTCCAGGCTGAACAATGTTGCCTCCCACCAGAAATAAAGCCAAGAGGAAAGCTGGCAGGTTGCTGGCTTTCCTCGCCCTTATCTCAGCATTAGCTTGGCAAGAATCCCATCTTCAGCAACATTTGCAAGGAAAGGAAAAACAAAAACCACAGTGGGGAAACAGAGCACTGTGGGTGTCCCCTTCTGTTTGCATGGGGGTCAGCAGCTCGCTTCTCTCCGTCTAGAACTTCATCCACCGGAAGCTGGAGGAGAAGGAGGAGGCCATTAACAAGCTGCATGCAGATGGAGACCAGCTGCTGGCCCAGAACCATCCTGGGAAGAACGCCATTGAGGTGAGCACTGGTACCGTGCTCATCCCTCACCATGGGGAGCTGCAGCCACCACGAGGCTGCTCCTCAGCCTCCTCTGCTCAGGACTGAAACCACAGCCCTTCCCCATCTCCCAGCCCTGTTTGGGGCACTGCAGGTTGGGGCCAGCTCAGGCTCACCCCACGGGGCTGCCACTGCCCCAGGTGTTGACACAGCACTGCATTACAGGCACACATCGAGGCAGTCCACGCCGACTGGAAGGAGTATCTCAACTTCCTGATCTGCGAGGAGAGCCACCTCAAGTTCATGGAGGACTTCCACAAGGTACCAGACTGCTGGGACTGGGCCTTAGGAACTGAGGCTGGCACCCTTAAAGGCCACTTGTTCCCCACCCTGCAATGAACAGGGACACCCACAGCTCCATCAGTGCTCAGATCCCTCCCAGACTGAGCTTGAGGGTCTGCAGGGATGGGGCACCACTGCCTCTCTGGGCAGCCTGGGCAGTGCCTTACTGTCTATATTGTAACAAACTTCTAATCTAAACTCCCCTCTTTTCGTTTGAAACCATTTCCCCTTGTCCTGTCACAGCAGTCCCTGCTGAAGATTCTGTCCCCCTCTTTCCTCAAGTCCCCCTTTAAGTACCAAAGGACCGAACTCAGCTCTCCCTGCAGCCTTCTCCTCTCTGCACTGCACAGCCACAGCTCTCAGCCTGTCCCAATGGAGAGGGGTTCCATCCCTCAGATCATTTCTGTGTCCCAAAAAATCACCTGCTCCATGCACCAGCACCACTTCTCGCTGTCAGCACCCTCACACACAGCAGAGGACCCTGCTCTGCTGGGACTCACAGAGGCTCCTGCCACTTCTCTGCCACCTATTTACCACCTCATCCCCCAGAGAAGCCTCACATCACGCAATTGAAGCTTCCCACCAAAGCAGCATAGCTGTGAGTGGGGAAAAACCTCACCTGCAGTGCTGTACTGGCTGCAGGGAGCCTGCATGGAGCTGCACAGCCTAGCTGAGCTCTGCAGACAGATGTCTGCCTGATAAATTGCATCTGGCAGCCTGGGAGGCTGTGCAGGGAGCAGGTCGGGCCGGATTCCTCTCCCACAGCCTGGGCGTGTTGAGGACGTGATGAGGCTTCTGCCAAGGGGGAAGCGGGGTGCCCAGCCCCTCAGTGCCTCCTGTGGTACCTGCCCAAATAACTGCGCCGTGGGGTGGCTTGCGTGGGGAAGGGCCGAGCTCTGCCCGCTCCTCCTTGTTGGCAGCAGGGAGGAGCGCGTGGCGTGATGCTGCCCACGTGAAACCCCAATTAAAGGTGGGAAGGGCTGGGAAACGTGGATTTGAACAACCTGCAGGAGAAAAGCACGCGATGAGCTGCCTCGTTCTTTCTCCCCCAGCTGGCTTTCCCTGGCTCTGCTCTTGCAAATAGCAATTCCTCATCCTCCTCTATGTGTCTCACCCGTGGCACCTTGCAGGGACTGTCCCTGCTGCAAGGGTCCCCCTAGTGAGAGTTTCTGCCTTTCTGCAGTTTCAGAAGGACGCAAAGGATGCCCAGCAGCTCTTGAAGAAAGTCGATACAGACCTGGACCAAAAATACAGCCCAGAGTTCAAGGACAGATACCAGCTGGAGTCGCTCCTCAGGGAGCTGGATGTGAGTACTGACAAGGGATCCAGAGCATCTCCATGGCACCACGGTGCAGTCCCTGTGGGGATGGGCACCCAGCCCTGCTCGCTGGCCGTGCTGCTGCCTCCCTTCACCTGGCTCTTCCTCTGCCTTGAGCTAGGGATTGCCTCTCCCACAGCAACGTAATTGCTCACCGGGCTGGTTTTCATTTGTTCACCCATTGAGCTGGTGCTCATAAAGGGTAGGAGCATAATTAGACCTGCTGCCGGAGGAGGCGGTGGAACAAGCTGTGCTGGGGTCTGGCTGTGTCCTGAGCATGATGCAGCACTGCTTGGTGCAGCAATGACTCTGCCCAATGGGTACCCCTCTGCTCCCACCCCAATGGCCATTGCAGGACACCCACCTGCCCAGACACTAAGAGAGCAACCTATGCAGAGCTTTGCAAGGTGCTCATTAGAGCTAATTGCTGGGAACAGGCTTATCCCTGCACCACACTCTGTAGACCATGCACCAGGCACAGAGATTCCTTTCTCAATCTGGCTGTAGGAGCAGCAGGAGGACATGGGAGCATTCAGTGCAGGATCCCAGTGGCTGCAGAGCAGGACCCAAAAGCCATTCCCTGTTGCGCAAACGAAGGAAGCTGAGGGCTCTGTCAGTCAATATAAGCTCTTCCCAGCTTTGGGGGCACAGGAACACATCCCCTCTCCCTCCTTCCCACGTTTCTTTGCTCATTCCCCCATGCTAGGACCAAGAGAAGGCCCTGGAGAAGTACGATGCTGTGGTGCAGTCGCTGCAGGAGCGCAGCCAGCACGTCCTGCCCCTGCGGTACCGCCGGCTGCCACCGCCGCAGCCCATCCCTGTGGAGGCTCTGTGCGAATATGAGGGCGAGCAGGTAATGGCCCGGGGTGAATGCAGGGGACAGAGGTGACACCAGCACCAGGGACAGGCTGAGGCGGATGGCCAAAGCACAGCCTCCAATAGCCCTGCAGCCGCGGTGCTTGTTGCACACCCTCTGTGATGCTACGCTGAGCTGGGGGTAGCAAGGTGACAGCCACACCAAGTGCCACCCAGGAGCAGGTCCCTCCACCGAGGGACCCACAGCAGGTTCAGGAAATGCCACCTCCTCCCTGCCCCTGCTGCAGTGACTGGCTGCAGAGAGATGGCTGGGGGCTGTGGGGAGTGAGTCCACGAGTGCAAGGGCACAGCCTGACCTGCTGCTGCTGCTTGTTCCCATCCCCAGGGCCAGATAACCCGAGGAGCCCATTACACCCTGCAAAAGAACAGTGGAGACATCTGGGAAGTGATGGACGGTGCAGGAGGTGCCATCAGTGCCCCAGGTGTCTGCTTCATGATCCCCCCTCCAGATGCAGAGGCAATAGCACTGGCGGACCAGTAAGTGCAGTACCACAGCACCAGACCCTCCCAACACCACCCCTCCAGCCAGGTTCTCCAACTCTAGGGAGGAGTGTGGGGAGTGCTCCCATCCTGCTGGGAAGCACTCAGGATGAAGCACCTCTCCTGCAAGGGAAGACTCTGCTCTGCCCACTTATGAACATGGATGAGGGTGCAGAAAACCCCCCAGCTGGGTTTCTCCCCACTTTCATGACCCAGATGAATGCTGGCAGGGCAGCTCTTACATTGTCCCCATGCTGTCCCTTCTGCAGGATTGCTGATAGCTATGTAGCTGTAAAGGAGAAGACCTCCAACTGCAAGAACATCCTCCAGCAGCGCTACGAGGGGCTGAAGGCTGACAGCATTGGAGGTATGGCTCTGCCAGGGCAGCCCTTTCCCCTACACTGTTCCTACACTGCCTTGAGTTCAGGGGTGGCTCTCTGCTTTGTCTCCTCAAAGAACAACCATGCAATCCTGCACCACTCCTGTCCTCTTACTCAGGAGATAATGGTGGAACATAGAGCACAAACACCACTCAGAATCATAAAATCATGGAATGGTCCAGGCTGGTTAAGGTTTTTGAGGTCACCAAGTCCAACCATCAGCGCGACCTACAAAGTCCCATCACCGAACCACATCCCTTAGTGCCACATCCATACATCTCAAACACCTGCATGGATGGGGACACCACCACTGCCCTGGGCACACACCAGTGCCTGAGCCACACTGCCTTTGACTCTTGCTGGTGGCCAAAGTGTTGGACTGCTGCTTTGTTGCACTGAGAGGACAGCACTGACAGCTTCTCCTCTCCTAAAGGTCCCAGGTGCAGTGCTGGGACATGCATGGGGCTGGAGCAAGCACATTGTGGCTACAGCAGGCAGAGAGTGGAGGAGGATGTAGGTTTCATGCTCAGTGGTGGGATCGAGCTGTCTCTAACCTGCTCCCTTTTCCTTCCCCAGATGCTGCATCAGTTCAGGGCCGCCAGCTTCTGGCAGGGCTGGAGAAAGTGCACAGTGACCTGGACAAGTTGGAGAAAGCAATAACAGCAAACCTCCGTCCACCGCTGGAGCAGAGTCGAGCTGTGCAGGACAGCACTGAGCGCTCCAAGGACCTGAAGGTACAAGGCCATAGGAGCAGGCACATTGTGCCACGCAGGGACCCTGCTCCCAAGGCTGGGGTCCTTCCAAGGGGTCTTCAGGGTGGTTCTTGGTGTGCTGCATGCCTGTTGGTGCTCCCAGAACTCCATGAAGGCATGGAGCAGCGCTACCACCAGCTAGTGACCAAACAAAAATACCAACACTTGCAGTCCAAGGCACAGCTTCTCCTTGTGCACAGCTCAGCATCTGCTCGGTTAGGATCCCGTGTGGCAACACTCCCCTCCCTTCCCCTCCTTCTGACCCCTAATTAATTCAGGCTCCATGCCACAAACCTCCCTCGTTCCAGGAGGCAATCCACCTCCTGGCTGTGTCAAAATCCAAGTGCCACCACAAGTGAAAGCAAATTGCTCCGGCTGTCTGCAGCACTTTGATGTCCAGGCAAGAAGTCAGCCTTCAGGCTGCAGAACCCAGTGGTCCAGATGAGCTCAGCACGTTTCCAACAGAGCTAGAGCTGCTGTGAACCAGTCCCTCCCCAGCCAGAGCTTCCTTGCTGAGGGCTATCTAGCCTGCTCTGACAGAGCTGGATACGAGCCTGGATGGAGAAAATATCCTCCTGTTCCCTCTAGGGCTGAAAGGCATCTGCCACCAAGCACACACCTCAGCCCTGCCCTCCCCTCTTGCACCAGACAGACACAGGTCAGCTGTTTTTTCCCATAGCCACAAGGTTCAGTTGCTACAAAGGTTTTTCCCTACCACAGAACATAACCAATGAAGTCCGTCGCATCGAACCAGAGAAAATGAGGAAGGTCCAGGACTGCGAGGCCTTCATTGAGTCCGTGCCCAACACTGGCAGCGCTACGTTGGTGAAGAACAAGGTGGAGAACACCAACAAGAAGTATGACCGTGTGGTTCAGCTGCTCAGTGCTGCCCAGGAGAAGTAAGTCATGGCTCAAGCCCAGCAGAAAGTCAGGTCCAGCAGACTGGCTTGGCGGTGATGGGTTGATGGTTGGACTTGATGATCTTAGAGACCTTTTCTAACCTTAATGGTTCTATGATTCAACACCTTTCCCCTCGCGTCCACACAGAGTTGAGGTGGCCACGCACCTCGAGAAGAGTCTCCAGCAAGGCCGAGACCTGCTGTCCACATACGAGAACAAACTGGTGACAGACGACACCGTACCAGAGGACCTGCGGGTGATAGACCGTAAGAAAGAAGAGCTGCTGGTGAGTGTTTCCTGCAGCCAGTTTTCTACCCTATTGATGTGCTTCACATACAGAACTGCTTCCCAAAAGCTGTGGCAGCTGCTGCCCAAGCCCCAAACTTGAATTGGTGGCAAAGGGATGACTGCCCCAGCGGGGACCCCACGTTAACCGTGCCTGCTTTCAGTTCAGCTCCAACTTGCTTTTCTCCAGCCTGTCCTCAGTGACACCAGGACAGTAGATGGGGACCAGTGACAAAAGCCTGGCACGCGTGCAGCCCTGAAGAACCTCTCTCTCCTTTTTCCACAGGCCATGGGCTCTGAGCTCCAATCCAAAAGGTTCTTGCTCAATGAGGCAGAGCAGAACTTGCTGAGGACAAAGACCTGCTCCAACACCCTGGCCAGCAAGTTCCAGGAGCACTGCCCTGACATTGAGCGGCAGGAAGCCGAGCTCTACAAGCTCAACCAGCGCTTCAACAACCTCAGCAAGCAAATTGACCACAGGTGAGGCCCTAGGAGAGCACATAGCTGGAACTGGACCAGCCTGGGATATTTACGATAGGGAGGAGCCATTCTAAAATCAGAAGAAGCATAATGCTGTCTAGGAACGGGCAGTTGCAGATTGGCTTCCAGGCAGTGCCAAGGAAGAAGCAATAGATGTTCCTGGCACGTGTTGGCTGGGTAGGTCTGGGCAGCCTCTGGGATTAAGTGTTCTTGCTACAGAGATGGGGACCTTGGCAAGACTTGCCTGCACCGGCAGTAGGTGAGATAAGAGCATGAGCTGTCATCCACCCACATCTGCCTCTGCCTGGATCACAGCACATCTTGTGCTTTCTTATCCCTCTACAGGCTTACACCCAGCATTCAGCATCCTCCACATTCTCCCTGCAGTTTCCCTATGACTCATTTCTCCTGCAGTTTCTACTTGCTTTCATACCAACCAGGTGGCACTGATTCCTGCAGCAGAAGAGAACCTGCAAGGAGGGGGGTGGAGAACAGCTCCAGCTCAATTCCATGTCTGGGGAGCAGGGAAGGGGAAGCAGGGACCGATGAAGAGGTGTTTGCAGAAGACAACAATTGAGAATGTGCTGACATTGAGTCCATTTCCCCTACAGAACACAGACCCTGCAGAAAGCAAAGAGTGCCTATTCCAACTACCGCACAAACTATGACAAAATCAACCAGTTCCTTTGCAACATACCCAACTACGAGCCGCAGGAGACGGACAACATCCAGCAAGTGGAAGTGAAGCTGAAGAACCAAGCAGTAATTCTTTCTGAGAGCCTGGGCTGCTTGGGGGGAGGGGAAAAGGACCACTGAGAGATCATGAATGGAGTCAAACAGGTCCTGCACATAAAATGGGAAAACACACAGGCTTAAGCAGCCTTACTTTTACACTACAAGGTCCCACACTCTTACTTGTGACATGTTTGTAAATAACAGGGCAGTGCTAGGAGGTTGCAATTCTCAGTGTTGCAACTCCAGTGGCAACCCTCCCAAAAGGTAAACGAAGTCTTTGGGCTACTGCATTCCCTTTGACTGCATCTTTGTTTGTCCCAGGCACTCCTTGGTGACATCGCAAGCAAAGAACAGGAGGTACAAAAAGTCTCTGCCACAGCTCAGCAGTACCAGCAGGCAGTAAAGGTAAGGGCTGCAATTCTGCCAGCAGGAGGACTCTTTACATCCTACTGAGAGCTGCCTATTGAAGGCTTAGGAAGCCTAGTGCCCATGCTCAAACAGCTGAGGAGCTGAACCCAGGTGATGTCTGCTCCAGCATGGACATCATGTGGCCATTAGCCAGGATTTCCTGCTTGGGAAAGGAGGTTTCCACTCCATGGCCAGTATTGGTGAGGTGACTGGCAAGTTTGGACATACTGCTGTGGTCACCAGGCTATAGGAATGCCAGAACCTGCTCGAGAGCCTGCAGGGTGACCCACAGATCTCACCAGCTTGCCCAAAACATGGCCAAGGGAAGAAGTCAAGAGAGATGGAGCCTGGGAGGGCAACCAGGAATCTCACCCCTTCCTCCTGGGAACTTCTTCCCACAGGACTACGAGCTGGAAGCTGAGAAGCTGCGGTCCATCCTCGACCTCGAGAACGGACGCAATGGGTACATGAGCAAGAAACCCAGGCTGCAATCTCCAGCTGCAAAAGTGAAAGAGGAGGTAAGCAAGCAGTGCCCTACAGAGAGCTAAGGCAGCTCACAGCCTGTGGGGCCAACAGGGATTATGCAAACAAGCATTTCATGGTCAGCAGCCTCAACCCCAGAGCGGGCTGCAAGGGAGGGCAGAAGAACAAGGAAGGATGGCCATCATTCTGAAGCCACCCATTCTTGGGGCTCAGATGGCCAGAAAGAGAAAACACTGGAGTTATCACTTCTTTGTCAAAGAGGAAAAGGGAAAGAAAATACAAGCAAAGATCTTGAAAACATTTCTTCTCTTGGAGTCATTTCACTGCCACAGACAGCATCCCTGATAGAAGTGCTTATGGAGAGAGCAGGCCACCAGCCACTTGTTTGCACAGGATCTGTTTGCTTCCATCCTCAAACTCATCCTGCATATCGAGGCAGGCAAAGTGCCCACGTGGCTCTGCCTCAGTTGTATCTCTTTTTGCAAGTCTTGAGTAGGAAAAATCCAGTTTAAAGTGGTGAGATTACACGTGCCCCAAACCCACTCTCCCTGCCTTGAAGCCAGTCTGCTTGCTCTTACAGGAAGGTTTAAGAAAAGCACCCAGGGTTACCTCTCGAGGGCATTGCTTCTGTTAAGCAAGACTTGACCCTGATCAAGACCAGGGATGATCGCTGGTCCCACCACCTTTGGCTGAACACTTCTTGTCTCCTAGGAAGCCATTCTGGCAGCCAAGTTCACCGAAGTGAATGCTGTGAATAGGCAGAGGCTGCAGAACCTGGAATTTGCTCAGAACCTCCTGCGGCAGGTAAGTCATCCCCCACGCACAGAGGCTCAGGGCTTGGCTGTGGCTCCTGAGGGTCAGCTCACTGCAAGCTCAAGGTCTTGGCTTAGATCTCTGCATGCTGCAGGTGGGCAGCTTGACACAGCTGCAACAGGCTGTGGCAGTGTGATTCTAAGAGAATATGAGAATCACACACACACACACGTGCCTTTGCTATTACAAGCTGAACTGGAAACAAATCTAACTAGCATTTCATACCCCTGAACCCATCAGTCAGCAGACACCTCAGTGAAGAGGTCTGCCTGGGATCAGGCACAGGCTCTCCACGTTTTCCACTCATCCTTGGAAGCGCTGTTTCATTTTTAATGCTTTCTTTATGCCTTGCCCATACCAGAATTGCATCTCTCTCAGCTTAAAGCTTTGTCAGGTCAGCAACGGGTATCACTGAGAGCGATTTCCAGGCCAGAAATCCACAGAGCAGTTCAAGAAAAGCCCATCTGCAAATCGGCCCTGTTCAGCATCTGCAATAGGCAGCCTCCATTAACCCAGATCAGCATCCTCCTGTAGTACTGCCACAGGAGTGAATGGAAAATAAAATAACTGAATGAGCTTACTTGGTGCTTAACTACACGCTCTTTTTCAACCATAGCAGCCAGAGGTTCAGGTGACGCAAGACTTCATCCAGACCAAAAAATCCGTAAGGCCTGTGGAAGAAGTCTGGAAGTTGAAGAAAGAGCTTGAGGATGAGACTCAGCGTCGGCAACAGCTAGAAGCTGAGATCCAAGCCATCCAGAACAACATTATCCACCTGCAAAACCAGAAGCCCCAAGAAACCATAGTTAAGAAGGAATTGGTGAAGAAAGTGCCGGACCCGCAGCTGGAGGAGAGCTTCCACAAACTGCAGCAAAGCCTGGCAGAAGAGCAACGCAAGAACCAGGTGCTGCAGGATGAGCTGGAGGCCCTTAAAACCAGGCTGCGTGTTTTGGAGCATGAGAAGAAGGAAGGAGGGCAGGAGTATATAGTGAAAGAGGTGCTGCGTATCGAGCAAGACAAGGCTCAAGCTGAAGAAATCTTGAGGCTCAAAGAAGAACTGGAAGAGCTCAGGAGGCAGGAAGGAACAAGGGAAAACGAGGTCAATCTTTTACGCCAACAAATCGCTGTGCTGTCCAGCGAGAAGAACAAAGAGCAGGAGAAGGTAACAGAGAAGGAGGTGCTGAAGCTGCAGAACGATCCCCAGCTGGAGATGGAATTCCGGATGTTGCAAGAGAACAAGCAGAGGGAGAGTGCCCTGAGGCAGAAACACGAGGAAGAGCTCAGCTTCCTCCAGGAGAAACTCAAACGTCTTGAGAAGGAACGGGCCATTGCTGAGGGCAAGATTACTGTCAAGGAGGTACTGAAGGTGGAGAAAGACGTGGCCATCGAGAGGGAGGTGAATGAGCTCCGGCGCCAGTACGAGGATGAGAAATCCAAGGGGCGTTCCAACGAGAGGGAGAAGGCCGAGCTGCTCAGGAAGATCCAGCTGCTGGAGGAAGAGAACGCCAAGGTGGTCGTCCAGGAGAAGGTGAGGGAGATCGTGCGGCCGGATCCTAAGGCTGAAAATGAAGTTGCCAACCTTCGGTTGGAGCTGGTAGAGCAGGAGAGGAGATACCGGGGTGGTGACGAACAGCTGAAGAGCTGTCAGAATGAACTGGCTGCTCTGAGGAATAGAGAACCGCTGGTAGAAGTCAAAGAAGTAATTAAGGAGGTCATTAAGTACAAGAATGATCCAGAAACTGAAAAGGAGCTACAGCGGCTCCGTGAGGAAATCATAGAGAGGACGGGAGCCATTGAAAGAGCTGACCTTGAGATCTACCAGCTGAAACAAGAGATACAAGCTTTGAAAGACACCAAACCTCAAGTGCACACAAAAGAAGTTGTTCAAGAAATTCTACAGTTCCGGGAAGACCCTAAGACAAGAGAGGAGGTGGAATCTCTGAGAGTGCAGCTGGCAGAGGAACAAATGAAGCACGTTGACCTGGAGAGAGAACGGCTCCTCCAAGAAGACAAAGTAAGACAGAAAGAGGAGGAACTTTCCCAGGTGAAGGAGAAAGTGGTCCAACAGGAAGTAGTGAAGTACGAGCAAGATCCTGCCTTGAAAGCTGAAGTGAACTCCTTCTCTCAGAGCATCGAGAGTGAGCTGAAACAAATCGATTCCCTCCGTGAAGAACTGCGCAAGCTGCAGAGGAGGCGGTCTGAGCTGGAGCGACAGCTGGAAGAACTGGAGAAGGAGAGACAGGCCCGCAGAGAGGCGGAACTGGAAGTGCAGAGGCTGAGGATTAGGCTGAACGAGCTAGAAGAGCAAGAGAGGGAAACGACGGAACGAGTAACAGTGAAACAGAAAGTGATCCTTCAGCAAGATCCCCAGCAAGAGAAGGAACACTCCCTCCTCAGGCTGGAGCTAGAAGAAGAAAAACACCGGAGACAAGTCTTGCAAACTGAACTGGAAGCCTTGAGAAAGAAGCTTCTTTCGTTGGAGAAAATGGAGGTCAAAGAGAAAGTTGTCTTTTCAGAAAGTGTCCAAGTGGACAAAGGAGACACGGAGTATGAGATTCAGAAGCTGAAGAGCAACCTGGAGGAGGAGAGCAGGCGTAAGAGGGAGCTAGATGCAGATATCAATAGGCTTGAAACCAGGCTGTCCGAGGTGGAATTCAACAACTCTAAGTCATCGAAGGAACTAGACTTACTAAGAGAGGAAAACCACAAATTGCACCTTGAAAAGCAAAACCTGCTGATGGAAACAAGGAGGCTGCAGTCAGAGATTGAACTCACAGCAACAGAAGCTCGGGATTTGAGAAACATGACCCACGTGGACAGTGGACCAAACCTAGACTCCAGATTCCAAGCTCTGGAAAGAGAGTTAGATGATCTGAAGCAGTTATCAAGAGAAAAAGATGCAGAGATCGAGCAGCTCCAGAACCGCCTCAAGACGGTGGCAATCAAGAGGGAGCAAAGAGAGAACCACCTGAGGCGCTCCATTGTGGTCATCGATCCGGACACGGGCAAGGAGATGTCTCCAGAGGAAGCTCACGTGCTCGGCCTCATCGAATGGAGCCTCTTCGTCAAGCTGAAGAGTCAGGAATGCGACTGGGAAGAGATCTCGATCAAGGGGCCGAACGGGGAATCATCCGTGATCCTCGACAGGAAGTCAGGCAGAGAGTTCTCAATCGAAGATGCCCTGAAGAGCGGCAGACTGAGCACGGCCCAGTACAACAGTTACCTCAACAAGCAGATGTCAATTCAGGAGCTGGCGGTCCTGGTGTCTGGAAGCGATTACCCAGTGCTCGCTCCACTTTAGAACCTTCCCTTCAAGGCAGCGAGTCAGAGCTGCACCACCCGTTAAGACTACCAGATCACTGCAAATCCTCGCCCTCCTTTGCGTCTTCCGAAATGCTACAGCCTCTGCCCGGCCGCGCTATGAAGCCGCACTGCTTGCTGTCATACGCTGCGGAAAAGCACCGCCAGTAGTGGAAAACACGTTTGTCAAGGCTACAACTAAACCTTCTCTCCCTCTCTGCAGCCCTACCCAGCCACTCGACAAACAAGATGACAAGCTGAAAACAAGTGAAGTACCTGAAGTCCGAAAGACTCAGCCAAACCTGCAGTTTCTTCAACACACAGCCACAAAGGCAGGAAAAAAAAAAAAAAAAAAAGCACAGATGTTAGAGAGGCTGAAGGTCAAAATGATTCTGGGGTGACCAGCGAGAGCTGGGTGCGTCAGCTCCACGTTGGTAAGGCACGCAGTTTGACTGTGGACAACCAAATGATGGGGTTATCCTCGGAAATAAATGGCTCTGTAAGCAAAAGGCGTGATGCACACCTCGCTTTGGTATCATCACATCAACACCGAGACCTTTTTGCTCACCGGCGTGCTGATGCTGCTGGGCAAGAGCGAAATGAAGCACAGCAATTTGATGGTGTCAGCCCTGGATTCAGGAGGAGCATTCCTATAGCAGAGTTCACCAAGAAGCAGGTGAAGAGCCGGCAGCAGTGCCGAACACAAGATGCTGGTGCAAAGCATGCAACCGTAACCAAACGCAGAGTGCCTTCAAAACACACTTAGCTCACCTCGTGGCTGAGAGCCATTCGTGCTGGTATCTTATGGAATAGAGTTACAGCAGCTACACGTCTCACTTACTTGTGTACGGGAACGGGAAGTAGAGGGGAATTCTATTTATAGTATGAAATAAAAACATGCAGTGGTTCCAATCAGGTGCTTGTTTTCCTTTATTGCCGACGGCGGTCTCTTGATCCTTGGATTTACAGGAAGATGCCAGTTCAGAGTCAATGTTAAAAATAAATCAATAGGACTGTTCCTTTGAGCAGACCCAGCATTAGCTGGGACTAATTAGCAGCATTAGATGGGAGGGAACTGCACCACCAAGTGAGACTGCAGCTACAGGAAGAGGGATTTATGCTGGGATGGTACCAGAGACTTCTAGAGCACAACGAATCGTTTCCTTTACCCCAATTTCTGCTTTGCCAGGGCAAGGAGCCTCTCCCCTCTCTCTCTCTCCCTACCAGATTGTAGGCACGCAGACAATCAAAATTTAAACCCCAGGATCTTTTTCACATTATGTCACCACCTGACACAGCGAAAGCTCCGGCAGAGCAGAGCTGCCTTTTAACCATACTCACATCCAGCTCTGCCCCGATCAGCCTGCATTCTTCATGCGATGCCTCTCCTTCCAGTAAGCTCAATACCTGAGCCCCAGCAAACTCTGCCACCAACAGAAGCAGCAGTGAGCATTCACTGACCATCCATCTTGGCTTTGGAGATCAGTGCAATTATTTTACCTTTGTAAATGACTGCATCACACAGGATCATGCCATTGCTCCAGCAGATACCTGGTCCTTCCAACCCAAACCATTCCATGATTCAAAAGCATTGAATACGAAAGCATAAACAATTCCACCATCACAATGGCTTCGGAGCCGTAGTGCACTTACAAAGTAAGAGATATTAGTTAGAAGGCAATTAATTAATTAGTCACTCGAGAAATAGATGGTCAGGAGATGATCACCAAGCTAAAACAAATTCATGAAAGCGAAATGGTGAAAACTAGAGGGAAGAAGATGGAAAAAAAGCATTTTGGAAACGTTGAAACAATTTATTCAGTTATTCTGTACAAGATTAACAGTTTTCATACCACCCCCATCATCTTCAGCAAGACAGTCCCATCACACACAAAAAAATATAATAGTAAACCGCAGCTCTTACATCCAAAAGGAACTGCCCTAAAAAGTAAGTGCTATGGGAGCCTCACTGCCCCACGCTGTCACGGAAGTGCTGCACGTTGCCTCGTCGAGGCAGAGGCCAGAGCCCTGGCTCCCCATCAGCTGCCAGGCCTCCGCGTGGTTCTGCCTTGCTGCAGCTCTGCTCCGTACCATTCACTCATTCATTATCGCATGTAAAGAAAAGAGGAAAAAAAAAAAATATATCCCACAGAATTTCCACCAAATAAACATTTCCCTGAGGCAAGAGGCTTCGCTATATTCCTAGAACGCGGGCGTTCTGCTCTGGCCATGCACACAGGTGCCTCCCAGCAGAAGCATTCAAGTGAAAGCAAAGAGAGGGAGTAGAACCAGCACCCTGGGTCACTCGCTGCGAGTCCCTGTCCTGCCAGGTGTTTGCTGAACTGTTTGTTGTTGTTTCAGCAACCACGGGAAGTTGAAGGTGCAAAGCACCTCTCAGGATGAGGCCTCCAACGGGAACCATGCGACATCCACTGATCAGAGACCAACGATGACTGCTGTGCTTCGTTTTAGTCACACAAGTTCTTGTCTTTGGCTCTTTTGCTACAACCTAGATATTTTCTGTAAACAGATTTTTAATTCTGAGCTGCATTTTTATACATATATATATATAAACAATGCAGTGATCTTGGAAAATTACATAGTAGCTCAAACTGAGAACAGTCAGTCTCGGAGCTTACAAAAAAGTAGGGAAAACAAAAGCAGATATTTGCTGGTATAAACAGCGCCAGCATCCTACCTGAAAGCTCTAGGAGGAAGGCTGCAGACTTTCCCTTGAACTACCAGTTAAATCTATGCAGATGAGTGCCACCGTGGCACGATTCAAATGTGGGCTCCAGGAGCCTGAGAAAAAGAGACTGGGGAGAGCAGAAAAATAAAACCCACAAAGCTCAGTTGGAACCACAGCCTGCCTTTAGCTATACACAGTTCATAAGGGTGTGCCCAGGGGAGAATTATTTAGGGCTAAGAGTTAAAAAATCGTCATAGAAAATAAAAATGACGCACCCCCAACTCCAGATGGTCCCCATTCCTGCAGCTGGGACAAGCGCATGATTCTAGTGCAGAAATCATCAAGGAGAGCAATACTCTTCTCTGGAATTCATTTGAATATAAGTGACCTTGGTTAATCTAGATCATTCCCTCTGCCCACTAAAGAGATCGTTACTGACAACCCTAGGAAAGAATGGCTTTAGGGGAGGGTCTGGAACCCGCTTGCACAAACTCTGATAAGAACTGGTGCTCTTGCTGGATTTGGTACTGTGTTCGCAGTCACCAAGACACCATTTAAGTCCAGACAGTGCAGCTTTTTTGATGTGCAACCATAAAAAGCTCTATTAAATAAACAGAATACATCTTAAATACAGAATGATTTAAAAAGGGTCGAGGAGCACATAAAATAGGGCTGAAATGTGTGTCACTAGTCCATTCTTGCTCCACCATAAAAGGCACTGGAATTATGTCTTCCTATACACGTGACATGCTGAGAAGTGTCCCATTCAATCCAATGCATTCAACAGTAATGAGGATAAAACTGAGCAGGAAAAAAGCATCCCTTTGGAGGAAAAAAAAAAAATAACTGCAAAAACCAAAAGATGTAGAATTCTCAACGTCCATGAGTGCATCTAGAAGTGTCTCTCTAAAGAGTCTTCTTTCTCCTCCAGAGGGGAACATCAGATGGTTCGTCAGATTCACCGCACAGGAAATGTTAAGTCCTCCTATTAAGTGTAGCACAGCTTAATAGTACAATTGGAAAAAAAAAATCTCAGTGAAATGTCTTCAGAAAGCACTGGCAGTGCTAGAATTGTCCAAGTAAATCCAAAGCAAAAGAAAGAAGCACCTTTCATACCCTCCACGGGGAGACCAAGGAGGTAACTGGGCTTGGAGGTACTTGGCAGACGCAGACGCGGGTGAGTGGGAATCCAGCAGCCCCAGGCTTCCTGCAGGAAAGCCAGGTCACCCGAGTCTTCGTGTGAGTTCCAGCTCGTGCCAGTGCCAGGGAATGCGTGAAGGGCAGCAGCAATACAAGAGTGCTACAAACACTTCTCTCATCGGGATGTGGCTCGAGGCGGCCCTCGGTGTGGGGCTTTACTCCGAAAACCTCTGAGCAAACGCACCAACAAAGCCCTCGTTGAAGTTCAGTCTCTCCAGTTGTCGTTGAGTAGAAGACACCGTCGGTATTCATGAACTAACAGCTCCTCTGGGTTTATCCTATGTGTGCTCTAGCTCCCCTCCTGGCAGACGTCACAACTTCCGCTGCTGTGTGTTGGACCCTTTGCCGTGAAGCTGAGAGGCGTCTGAAAGAAAACAGAAGCAAATGGGGAAGGGTTTCAGCATCAGCTGCACTGAGCTGCGTGCAGCAGCTGAGCTGCAGTCACAGGAAGCACTGAGGGTCTCCCGTGGCCTCTCAACAAAAGCACCACAGCACGGGGTCAGATGGCTGGTTGACTAGCTAGCTTGGCAATCTCTGTCCTCTAAAAGCCAGGCTGTGGTGTCTCCCCACCTAGGAAACTAGAAACTCATGGTGCTTGCTGCCTAGCACCTACAGTTGATTTGAATATCACTCAGCAGACCTCTGCTGTTGAAATGAAGTCCCACTGATAGCAACAGGAGTCATAGGAATCTAACCACTGGAGTAAGAAAAAGGAGAGGACACGAAGGAAAAAGAGTAAATGCAGTGAATAGAGAAAGAGTAAGGTAGTTCAGCATGTCAGAATTCTCCAGGAACAATTAAAACTACCACCAGATCACAGTGAACAAATGCATGTACCGAGACGTGCAGTCAAGCAGCAGGGGCACCAAGCAGGGCAGCAACAGCTCCTTCTCCAGGACAAGGACAGTTCTTTCCATGCAAGGCTGCAGTCCCAGCACACAGTACTTCTAAAGCAAGCAGGTGGAACAACCACGGCCACAGCACGCAGGAACACCCATCAGCAAATGCAGCAGCAACAACAAGCAAGCACACACTGGATGCTCCTTGCTCAAATGCTTTTTGATGAATGCTGCCATGAGCACCTGCACATAGGGCATCAACAGTTCCTTGCATTTGTAGCAACCTGCCAAACGCCAGCTCGCAGCTTTCAGGCAGAGCAGTGCAGCTGTGGCTATCTGCTTGTACAGCCAGCTACAGTTCCTTCCACCAAAGAAACAGGAGATCTTTTAAGACCACAGTGGCAAAAAAAAAAAAAAAAAAAAAAGCCATTTTGTTCTTCAACAAGGCACCACAAACTGGTAATACTGTCAGAGAAGACTGCACTGTGCTCAGTCTTCAATGTTTGTGTGAAAACACCAAGTGAGGGCTCTAAACTCCTTCAAATGAGGAAGAGAACTCCTCCCCAGTGACACAGGATACATTTCACATGTTCAAACCGAAATCAATCTCCTCACTCTCCAGCAAGTGGAAGTTTAGGAACAGGAAGGAAAGGTCTGTCACACAGCAACTGCTGCATGGGGCTGCTTCTGTTCTGCCACCTGGAGGGACCCAACAACTCACCCCACACAAACTCCACTAAAGCAAGCAAAGGAGAGGAATTCTTCCCGTTTTCACCAGTGCTCAGCGGTCTCTTCTTTCTCCAACAAACACTCAGCAGCCAAGGGCATTTCGCATGGACTGCTCCAGGAGACCACATCACCTCCAGCAGTGTGCCCACGCATCTACTAATGGCTTCAGTGCCACAGTATGAAGCCAGCACAGTCACTGCCACATCAGACTCACACCGCCCAGGTAAGAAGCTAAGACAGCCGTGCTGAACCACGCTGAAGACCCAAGGGACTCTTGATCAGAAACAGCTGCAGCAATTACCAGTGGCACAATTACCAAAGCAGACATGCCCAATCTGGTGTCCCTTCATTTCCATTTCCTGCATGCTGAATGGATTCCTCTCTCCTCTCCTTCCTCTGCAGTTCTTACAAACACTTGCAACCCACCGCGCCACAGCAGGCAGAGCTCCAATTAT